TACAAGAGACTTTTTCCAAAGTCAGTGATGGTGTGGGCTGGATTGACGTCGGAAGGTAAAGTCCCATTGGTTTTCATTGATAGAAATGTGAAAATCAACTCGGATGTGTACCAAAAGTTGGTGTTGATGGATGTTTTACGTCCGTGGGTCACTAGCCACTTTGGCCAGCAACCCTTCATTCTTCAACAAGATTGGGCCCCGTCCCATGGCTCGAAATCCACGAAAGCTGTTCTCGACGCTCATTTCCCTGGCTACTGGGGCAAGGACATGTGGCCCGCTTCCTCGCCCGATCTGAATCCACTCGACTTTTCCGTTTGGGGATATTTGGAGGAAAAGGTGATGGCTCGATCGCACCCAAATGTGGATTCACTGAAGGCCGCTTTGCTCAAAGCATGGGATGATCTTGACGATGACTACCTCCGGCGCACCGTCGCTTCTGTTCCAGCTCGTTTGAAGGCGTGCATCAAGGCCGAAGGCTCAAACTTCGAATATCTCCTCTGATATCTTTTCTATTACTATCATTTGTTGAAAAAATAAATCTGGTTCTTTTGTTGAAACTCCATTTTTGAAAATACAACAAAAAACAAGTGTCTCAATACTTTTCAGCCACCCTGTAAACCAAACCGAGGAATTTATCAAATAGTACATGGTTTCGAAACAATGAAAAATATAAAAATGACCCCAACGTTCCAAAATTTCATTATTTGTTGAAAAACTTTTTTTGCTCAAATTTCGATGAAATTAATTTTAGGTTTCTATGAATTTTTAACGAGAATCACACTGAATTTTTAAAGAAATGCCTAAAAAAAAATAGAAGAAGTCCTCTTATTGAAGGGCCCCTTGTAACAATTGAAAGACCGGTAATTCTAATAGAACTTTCACGGTATATTCGAAAATTCTGCACAACTTAGGATCTGAGATATTTAAAAGATTCGTTTTTTTCAAAATTCCTATAAAGTTCATATTTATCAAATAGTTCGTATCCTATTTCATTTCAGTAGACACATGTCCGTTTGGTTTGCCAACTGAATGCAAATCGACATGTGGATGTTTCAGTTTATCAATTGATAATCAGATGATAATCGGATTGCATAGTACGTATTAGGTTGGCAAATAAGTTTCTTTCGATCTTCAATGTTTTCAACTTTGAGAATTCATATCTGATCAGTGGGATTGTTTTTCTTGGTTAATGTTTTTTGCTGGATAGAGTATCTCACGGACTTGCTATATACACTTTGCCTCATTCCTCCTTCTTGTCATTCGCGAGCATGACGCTTGGTTTCATCCCTCACCGTCTACATTTTAGAAGTGGCCTTCATTTTTTTATTTCTCCTTGGTTTGAAAAATTACGATATTCACAAGAAATTGAAAGGAATAAACAAAGAAGGATCTCCTACTGTCCCTACCATCAAGCATTGGACCGAT